TATATATGTATATTTTGTCCATATATACATTGTCCATATATACATACATACATATTCATAATTATCATCATTATGTAAGGAACAGTGATGAAGGTTTTTGCCTCCCCAGGTCAGATTCGTGTTTGGGGAACTTCTACCCAGAATAAATCATCTGCTCGTTTTGAGAGGGTTAGATGTTTTCTCACATTGTTCCAAAGTGTCTTGTGACGTGGTAACAATGTAAGTGGTTGATCTGTTGGAGAAGTGAGGTGTGTGGCTGGCTTCTTTCCCAGAGGATGCATCTCCCTTAATCTGAAGTGCTGCTCTTGATCTATTAATAAATGCTGGATTATCTCAGGTTGCTTTATGACTCTCTCCTGGGCCTTCACTTTGAGCCCGGCTTCAATGCTTTGTTTTAACAAGGCACTTGAATGTTAACCTCTCCTGAGGACCCTCGTCACATTTTGACAGTAAAAGTAAAATTCAAGCAGCATTTGGCACACTGTTTTTTTGTCGGTTTTGTTAGTTGTTTTTTTTTGTTTGTTTTGTTCTATTTAAAATTTAAGTGGCTGTATGCAAGCGTGTTTGATGTTGTCCTAACATTTTCTTTCTAGGAGAGGAGGCAAGTGTGTTCAAGTGTTCGGTTTCCAGGGAGACGGAGTGCAGCCGCGTGGGGAAGCAGTCATTCATCATCACACTAGGCTGCAACAGCGTTCTGCTGCAGTTCTCCTCGCCTGCAGGTACACACAAATACCCTAACACATTATAGGATTGTCAAAAGTATCGATACTCTGAAAAGTATCGATACTCGAACGCTGTATCTGGATACAATGCTAATTTACAAAAGTATCTATACTAACAGTGCACGCCACCTCAGCGCCTGTCGGGTGCGCGCGACGGATCCGATGGACACGCGCTGTGCAGGCGGCATCTGGCAGATACAGAGCCCTCGCTGCAACCCGGCTTGTTGTCGTCGCTGTGCATGCACGCACACATTTCTGTTGCTGTAATATGGGCAGCGCGGCTGCAGAAGGATCAGAGCAGCCAGTTTTGGTCAAAAATGATAAAGGAAAAAGCGGTCTTTGGAAATATTTAGTGAAGTGAACACAGCACGCTGCAGACGGCAGGTACAGCCCCTCCCCTCACTAGCAGCTGAGCAACTGGTGTCGCCAGCATCAAACTAAAATATAACTTCTAACGTTAATGTGGGAGCTAAGCAGAAAACTTTATCAGTCATGCCCGTCTGTTACATTAAGAGACAATGTTAGTTTAACAGGACAACACAATTATGTGTGTCTGAAAAGTTATGTTAACTGTAAAGTCACAGATTGAAGCTGAAAAAACATTTGGTTTCTCCCGTAACCCCTGGGTCTCTGATCACATAGTGAGGTAGAAACAGGAGCATCCTGAGCCTAAACTACCAACTCTATTTGATCAGCAACGAAAATATGGTGCCAATTCACCAGAAGCACAGAAAATAAACAGGGCTGTAGATAAATACATTTGTATGGACAGATCTTGTTTCTAGTTGTTATTTATTTTGGGGGGATTTTTGTTGTTATCATTGATGTTACTGTTCTGATCTTTATTTAAAAAATGACATGCCTCTTAATTTTTTGCTGCTGTATCGAAAATGGTATCAAGTATTGAATATTTTCCTGGGTATCGATATCGAGTTTGAAATTTTAGTATCGTGACAACCCTAACACATTAACACCTACAGTCAGTGCCCATGAAGGAACTGCCTGTACAGGGCTGTATGTTAACTTTTTTAGCCCATAGCACTGGTGCAACAGAGGGTGATAATTTTGTAGCACAGGCCAGAAAGTTTGTAGCACCTGTCACGATAACAAATTTTGCTGGGCGATTAATTGCGTCAGAAATTATTGCGAAAAGCGATAATATTGCGCAGTATTGTGCTTTTAAGACCATTTTTATTATTGTTGTAATTTTGCTGTTCTTAGACCATTTATTAAACTTATGTAATGATAATAAAGGCATATTGATACAAGTACACCCTTTTAAAGAGAAATAAACATTTATTTAACAAGAATATTCACAAATGCAAAAAAAAGAAAAATAGACCATCAGTCTCTCACGCTCAGGTGTGCAGTTAAGTTGGTCATATTCGCTCTTTTTGTTGAGATGGTTTTAGAACAAACCTGGTATACCAGCTCGTCCAAATTTCTGGGCTCCCCTCTGTCATTTGGTTTAAATCCAAAACACTCCCACACAGGGGTCACAACATTTGGTTTAGGAACAAGTTCCCTGTCTTTCTCTTACGCTCAACTCTCTGTTTTCTCCTCCTAGACGGTGGGCCAAACGCGTTTTTCGTGTTGTTGATCGATCTCCATCGATAGAGTACACAGTTTTTTGTGTGTGATATTAAACAATTCTATAGAGTCCGGGAAAATTTGTTGGCAGCTCTGGTTTGATCATATATTTTCACAAACTTGTATTTTAATTGTCACTCTGCTCAGGCAACTTGCGGGATAACTCTAGCTGATGAACCAATCAGATTGTAGTTTAGAGAATATCAACCAATGGCAGACGGCCTTAGGACCCGAAAATGTAAACAGGGAAAACTGACAGCTCCGTCTTTTTTTGACTTATTATTGTGTCAAAATGAACAATTTAATGTAAATATATGGTATATAATCACCATCATCATTAATATATGTATGTAACATGATTGTATAATCTTAGGGTCTACACAAATCCCTTTGCAGGTGCTAAAAATGGCCAGTGTTGTGATTTATTTTTCTATGTATGCCCCCGTTAAGTTTCTTTTATATTGCTGATAATAGCGACAGCCTACAGTCTCTGCGTTGTGTTGTGATAATGATGGTGGACTAACGGCTAACAGTTAGTAACGTCAGTTGACTCCAACAAAGACACACAGATGCTCCGATGTCGATTCAGTGATCACTGTTTATTGCTTACAAGCACTTCGGGGTCTGGGGGATACAAGCCCGGTCTCAGTAAAACTATTTAATATAAATAAAATCATAATCAAAGGAAACTTACAATACTAATAAATGATGTCAACATGACGAAGCTTAATAACCGTTAAATAACAAATTACATGGTCAACGGTCTAACCTTGACCAGGATCAAAGATCATACCTGTCAAGTTTTGGATCTGAAAATAAGGGAAATTTTCCGGCGCCCGCTGCGAGCCGTCCCACCACCCCAACCAAGCTCCAGTATCCCTTACATTTTAAGACAGGTGTACAGGAAATCTAAAATAACCACTTGTCAACCACTTACTAACTACAATTAGGTGATCAGAATCTGATAGGCCTACCTTTGTTGACATTGAAATGCTGTGAACATTCCTACGTTATAATACAGGGTTATTATGTTATTATAATACGGGAGATTTACGGGAAAATACTAATACGGGAGGACGGCGGGAAAGAGGGGTAAAATACGGTAGTTTCCTGGCCAAAACGGGAGACTTGACAGCTATGTCAAAGACTTACTATATTACAAATTACATAAAAGACACTATTGATACAGATGAACCAGTACACATTGATAATCACTCTGAATGTCAATATAGTTATAATTAGTAATAAAGTCTCTCTCAGATCAGCTATACATTAATATTTACAGGTTTCCATTTAACAGTCACACATTCACGTGGGGGATACAAGCCCGGTCTGACTTGTTCCCCCGGTGATGGGCTTTATAGCTGCATCGTTACCTTGGATACTGTGTAGCCAAGTATTAAATTTGAAATATAAGATAACAGCATAAAAATATGAAAATAACACAAATATGTACACCTTACAACTATTCAATAAAGGTAAAATTACTGGCAAAATTATATTCTATATTACAAGATTTTGCTATTCGACATAGTGACCATTTAAAGCTCAACTGATGTATTTAATGTAACATGCAAGAGGCATATGTTACATCTGTTTCTCATATTGTTCTAATACTATACAAAAGAGTAATTTTAATATATATGTATATATTTCTTAATAATAGACCCTAAACTGACTAGTTTATAAGCTTCTAGAGTCTAATGAATGACCTAATAAACTACAATATACACCAAGTGATGAGTCTGAGTCGTTTTCTCCACTTGATTTGATTTTTTTTTTAAATGTCATCTCATTTGCATCAACCCAAACACATTTACCTTAGCTAGCACATCTCCAGCTAAGGATGCATCCTGGAAAATATGGAGTGCTGTATGCACGTAGCAGGCAGCACAACTCCTAATATCATACGGTTTTCAGCCGAAAGTTGGGCAGCATTTGTAAGAAGTTCTCTGGAGTGGGTCAGTTTTGATACTAAAGAAAGCCAAGTTGCAGCAATAGCTGTAGAAAAATATGAGTTAAAGGAAAATGTCTTTGTGTGCCAGCTAATGTTGGCTACCACCGAGAATGTTATATGCAATATGCCAACAGAAGAAACATTGAGAGAGCTCGCAAGAGTAAAGAGAGGGCAATACAGCAGATTGGTTTGTACAACATTGTGGTTTTGACTTTGGACAGTACATTCAATTTCAATTTTCATATCATAAATATTCATATATCATACAGTGGTGAAGTATTCAGATCCTTTTGTTATTCATATACCATACAGTGGTGAAGTATTCAGATCCTTTTGTTATTCATATATCATACAGTGGTGACGTATTCAGATCCTTTTGTTATTCATATACCATACAGTGGTGACGTATTCAGATCCTTTTGTTATTCATATACCATACAGTGGTGACGTATTCAGATCCTTTTGTTCAGTAAAAGTACTAATACCATAGTCATCACATAGTTTGATAGTTAGATAGTTTGGGTCTGATTTCCTGTCAACTCCATGGTCTCTCGAACCAGCAGGCGAGGATCAAGATGTCACACATGTTTCCAGACGATGTGTAACAGCCTTTCAGTCATTCATTCAGTCAGTGGCGATGATGAAGACGGCCTGTCGATGTCGTCCATGACAGCGGGGCCCGAGCAGTGCAGTCAGGATACTCTGAGCGTTAGCTGGGTTACTCACAGCACAGTCCGTTTATTCTTCAGGTTCTCCTCACCGGAAACTATGAACTGCAGCCTCATTAGTAAGATGAGTTAGCTGTACTGCGGCTAAAAGTCCGTTCACTTTGCTAGTGATGAATGCTAACAACACATCGGTGGCTAATGAGCTAATACACAACGTGAATAACTGTTCAAAACACTTCAACTAACTTAACGTTAGAAACGTCTTCAGCTTCTCATGGAAGATATGCAGAAAATGTCCAGGTGAATACTGTCGGTTAGATAGCATAAAGACCATGAATAAAGACACACACTACATACTTTTTACGGTTAACTCCGGTCAATTCCGGTCAACTCCTCTGAGCCGTGTTTACTTCCTATTTGGACGAATGTCATTGGCACACTTCAAGTCAGGTGACGCTGGAACTTGTTGTTGATTGGTTTGCAGTATAGTACGCCATAGCGTTTGCCTGATTAGTTTATCAAACATAAGTTTAGTTTTCATAAAAATATGATCGAATTGAGACTGCCAACAAACGGAAATTTGTTCAGAAAAAAATATATTAAGTTAATGTTAAAAAAGCAGCTACTCTATCGCTGAGGATCGATCATTTCAAAAACAAAAGCAGATAGCGACCTTCGGCCCACCGCCTATCCGCCTCGTCTCCCCCTCATGAAGATCGCACTGTGTGTGTGTGTAGCCCATAGCCCCGCCTCCCCCACAGAGACAAAGACACTCGATGACA